GAAGAAGAAGAACTCTCTCTCTCTCTGTGTCCAGTACTAACCTGTGAAGTTGGCGCCTTGATGCAGGTACCACGAAGATGGAGCTGGAGCGATGGCGCCACAGGTAAGTAACATTGGCCTCCGCCAGTCTCTCTCCCACTCTACGATCTACCACCTACCAGTGCCCAGTGCTGAAGACTACAGCTACAGCTATGGCGCCCAGCGCCGAAGACTACAACTAGCGCTACCACTACTGCCTAGCGCTGAAGACTACTGCAGCGCTCCTCCTGAGTGCTGCGGCCGATATCCTGAAGACTACGTCGTGCCTACTGAACTACCTACCCGTGAAGTGCATGGGAACTTCCTATGTACTACGGGTGTGCCTCCTGAGCCTGCCGAAGGGAGGCAGGGGCTGCAGCTGCAGCTCCTGCTCAACTCGTGAAACAGGCTATTTCTGGCCTGTTCCGCATCCCTGTTTACGTGCCTGAGTCTTAGGGGCAGGTCGAAACAATGAGGGCCTGAAAATGGCCCTCCGTTTCAGGCTGAAAACTCTGGGTCTGAAAAGACCCAGAAATAGGCTGAAACGGGGTAGGRYCTGCARGCCCTCGTTTTTCAGCATCCAGGCTGAAACGAACGGGGCCTGTAAGCCCTAAGTTTTAGGCTTTTAGGCTGAATGTCCGGGACGGGCCCTGCAGGGCCCGTGTGGCTACGCAGTATGCCTCAGTGAGTGAGTGAGTGTGTGTGTGTTTGTGGGCGGGCGGGCGGGCAAGTGAGTGGGTGTGTGTGGGTGGGTGGGTGGGTGGGCGGGCGGGCGTGTGTGTGTGCGTGAGTGAGTGAGTGCAGGCGGGCGGGCCCTCGAACTTTTCTTTTGTCCATTTTCCCGCCCAAGGCCAAACCACATGCCCGCCGGGAAACAACACGCCCACGGGAAACAAAAAGAAAACAAACGACAAAACCACACGCCCAGCGGGAAACAAAAAGAAAAGAAAAAACAAAAAGCAGGAAAAAAAGAAAAGTGGACGCCAACCATGAAACAAAAAGGAAAAACAAAAACGAAAAAAGTGGGAAACGACAGGCCGAAAATGAAAATGCTAGAAAAAAAAAGGCCGGCCGCTTATTGACGGCAGCGGCTTCAAATATTCCCTCACATCTACGTCCACCGCTGCCCGGCCCCGTGGGCGCGCTCACTCGTTTAGCGGCGCGCTGTGAACATTTCGGTACGCGCGCCTCTCTCCCCGCCCCCCCGCCTTCGATCGCCTCCATCCGCCGGCCCGCAACAAAACTTCACCCCCAAGTCCGGCGCGGAGCAGACCATCGACCTCCCCCCGCGGCCAATGCTGCTTAAGGGTTAGGATAATAACAATAATAATAATAAAAATAAAATTAATAATAATAATTATTATTAATAAGAATAATAACAATAATCATAACAATAATAATAATAATAATAACAATAATAATAATAATAATAATAATGTAAGGAAACGGGAAATGGAAGAAGAACGGATTGCAGATTGCGAAATCACCTTGAAAGCCACAAGGTTCTACATTGTCCGGAGAGCAAAAATGCATTGATACTCCACCAATGGAAATGTACCAAACCCGAGTGTCAGTGAGAGTTTGTTCTCATCATTCCCAACTTAAGTACTCAGAGTCTTTCCCCTACTGGCGCGCAGTACCCAGACTATAATCACACAGCTACTAGCAACCTACGAAATGACAATGCATCCAGTTAAAGTCAGCAGCAGAATCAAAGTACATGAAGATGTTGACCATTATAGACCATCGTCAGGACCAGGTACGTGCCCTCACATCCTCCTCCTCCTCCTCCTCCTTTCTTTCCCTCTCTGTGGGTGCGTCTGTCTATCCGCTTGGTTGTCTGTGTTTGTCTGTCCGTTTACTGTTTGATTTGTTTGTCTGGTCTATTTGTATATTTGTTTGGTCTGTCTGTATGTGCCCCTCTGTCCGGTCCTGTGCATGTATTCAGACAGCATTAGGACCAAAGAGGAGTCTGCTACTGTACACAGTCCAGGCCCTCGGTTGTGAATCACTCTGTACGACCGTGGGAGGGGGACCTGAGACCAGACAGCCTCGTCTAAACACTACAAAGGTACTGGTCTCAAGGTAGTCAACATTCAGTTTTGCTATGCTGCTTGGACGCTGGCTCGATTGTGACAGGATGTTGCCATTGACGCTAGCACGACGCTGGCGAGACGCTGGCTGTGCGCATGCGCTGTGGATGACGACGCGGGGTTGTGGCAGCACGCTCGCGCTTTCTGTTCTGCGCAACCGGCATTGCTGCTGTGGCGCTGCCACCTGTCTATATTGCTGATATGGCGCTGCCACCCGTCTCTACATCTGACGTGGCATAGGCCAAGCTGTCTACATGAGGTGACTGGTTGTGACAAAGAGGGAGATCGGGATCTATTGGATGATTGGGATAAGGTACTCACCTAAGGCTGTACCCCGCTGCTGTCTTCATAGTCTGAATCAAGTCAAGAGTGCTACGTGGCACTTCTGTGTGACCAGAACTCATCAGACTTGTTACTGTTATTGATTGATGACGTGGAGGGAGAAGAAACCCGGAGAAGGAGTGGGTAGTGATTGAGTTATTCTCGTGCGGTCACTTCTCATCTGTTTATTTCCCCTCAGTCTTCCTCTCCTTCTCTTTCCCTTTTAGTCTGATTTGTTTTGTCGGCCTGCATTTGTCTGTCCGCACCTCTCTGGTCAGTATATGTCTTACCGGGATAATAACTGATAATAATATAAAATAAAAATAATAATAATAATAATAATAATAATAATAATAATAATAATAATAAGTGGTTTTCACCTTTGCAGTGACAGACGCAGACCCCAGTGTTCAATCTGTAAGTCTGTCGAGTAGGGGTCACAGTTATGTAGAGGTCGTAGTTGTAGTAATTCTGAAAGGTCAAGGTCGTAGCTGCTACAGTCCTGAAAGGTTACGGTCATGGCTGCTACAGTTCAGAATGTTAAGGTCCGCGAGCTTCCGGGAGGTCCGGAAGTGGCCTTTCGAGTGTTGCTCACAGCAGACCAGAGGCAAGAGGGCAAGTGGTGAGTCCAACATTGTTTTAATCAGCGATACCCAGTCCCAATCTCACTTAGTCCAATCCGCAAGTTCCATGTGGGACTGTGCGCACCAAGGCCCGTTGTCAAGGGGCCAGACCAGCGGCCAACAGGAGTATAAACAAGAGGCAGTGCCCAACCATTCATTCATTCTGTTGTGCGTCGTGCTATAGCGTTGCCTGAGCTTCCTGCGCGAGGTGGTCTGCAGATGCCCATAGTCGAAGTGGGCGAGATGGGAGATAGCGCCTAGTAGTATTGTTAGTGAGCGGTCATGGCTGCCGTAGTTAGAGGTAGGAGTTAATGTGTATGTGTGCGTGTGATATAGTGAGTGCGTGTAGGATATTCAGGGTGATCCAGAGTCGAGTGTGTGTGTGTGTGAACAGAGGTGGCCACAGTGTTGACAACGAGACGTACAAGTGCTGTTGTGCCATAGCCGGTCGAAGCGAGTCTGCATCTCAACTGTGTTCTCGAGTCCCATATCTCTGAGTTTCGAGTGGGCGCTTGTCGTCAGTTTGCTGTGCTACCTATTTACATGCATGTGAAGTGTGAAAGAGAGCGAGTCTGATTGCAGTATCTGTTTGTGTCAAAGTTTTCCCGTTTGTCTGTTCTCGACTCTCACTCTCTTGTTTCCTTTCTCATGCACACACATACCCACACACCCATGGGCGAGGTTGTGAGCCCTTATCCGTCAGTCAAATGATCCCTGGACAAACAGTCTGTCTTGTCTGTTAGTTGGTCTGAGTCTGTGTGTCTGATTGTCTGTCTGTTTATGTTGTTTGTTGGTTTGTTTATGTTGTCTGTTTGTTTTTCTGTCTGTCTGTCTGGCTGTCTGTTTGTCTGATCCTGTCTCTTTTTTCCTTCTTCCTCTCCCTTCTCTCTCATTCTTTCCCATTCTCTCTCTCTCTCTCTCTCTCTCTCTCTCTCTCTCTCTCTATGTGGCATACTGCGTAGCCACACGGGCCCTGCAGGGCCCGTCCCGCATTTTCAGCCTAAAAGCCTAAAACTTGGGGCTTACAGGCCCCAGTCGTTTCAGCCTGAAAGCTGAAATATGAGGGCCTGCAGGCCCTATTCCGTTTCAGCCTATTTCTGGGCCTTTCAGGCCCAGAGGCTTTTCAGCCTGAAACGGAGGGCCATTTTCAGGCCCTCATTGTGTTCGACCTACCTAAGACTCAGGAACGGAAACAGGGTTTCGGGAACAGGCCAGAAATAGCCTGTTCCCCACGCCAGCTCGAGCAGGAGCTGCAGCTGCAGCCCCTGCCTCCCTTCGGCATTGGCAAGAGCAGCCTCCTGGACTGCTCGCCTGCAGTCAGAAGGCACACCTGAGTAGTACATTGGATAGTCCCATGCACTTCACGGGTAGGTAGCTGTCAGTAGGCACGAGTAGTCTTCAGGATTCGGCCGCAGCACTCAGGAGGAGCGCTGCAGTAGTCTTCAGCGCTAGGCAGTAGTCTTCAGCGTTAGCTATAGTCTTCGGCGCTGGGCACCCATAGCATAGCAGTAGTCTTCAGCGCTGGGCGCTAGTAGGTGGTAGATAGTAGAGTTGGGAGAGATGGCTGGCGGAGGCCAGCGAGACTTACCTGTGGCGCCATAGCTCCAGCTCCATCTTCGAGGTACCTACATCAAGGCGCCAACTTCACAGGTTAGTACTGGACTGAGAGAGAGAGAGAGAGAGAGAGAGAGAGAGAGA